CTTTTTTTGCCAGAGATAACAACACGAAACATAATATATCCTATTGTAAAGATGTTATTATCCTTGTAACATTTTTATCCTATCAATCAAACTCCAAGTAGTGATAACATTATTTCTCTAATTTTTTTCTCTCACCATTTTCTATCCTTACATTTTTTTTTCCCCTCTCAACTTTTCTCCCCATCCAAACAGATTCACATGAACGTGATTTCTAATCAAAGACTAGCATTATGAATTAAACTCCATTATTGTGCAAGCTGATAGAATAGCGCATGATTAACTGTTTCATAATATTCATTCATCCAAAAATTCACATCCACTTTGCCTTCTCTCCCGATCAATCTGCTGCCGAATTACTCTATTGGGACCTAATGAACTAGGATAAAACCCGGCCCTCCCTTTAAGAAACTGTAATATGACCCTTCACAAAATCAACTAGAAAACTACAGTCATTTTCAACTAAAGCTTTGTCACAGACTAAATTATTTGGTTCAGTCCTAAGAGCAAGTGCCGTAGCATATATGGCAGAAAGAAGCTTCGCTTCACAATTTAAGATAACTAATGCCAAAGGCTCCATCAGTATTCCGTTTGAGTTCACAGGCCCAGAGAAGAGACCACTTCGCGTCTACAGTACTTGTGTTAGAAGGAAACACAGAATTGAGCTACCATAAGTCAACTGGTTCCATCCGTACACTCTGCTCAGTGTCACGGAAATCATACAAATACAAAATGAACACCTAGGAAAATGCTTTGAATATCACTGTTCACAACAAAGTCAACCCCAAAAGTTAGATAACTCTCAAATTCATCATAAAATAGTTTTCAGATCACTTAAATAATCAATAAATCTTTCAAACTATCACTGGCTGCACATAAAGTCCACATGCGGTCAGTTGCTTTAGATCATTAAGCGCAGAACAAGGTAATTTCTAAATATACCAGCACATTGGAGAAGACAATCCCTAGCTGAGTATTACACCAAGTATAGTTCAACCAGTAGCATAAAAGAAAATAATTTCAAAATTTTCCATACCTGAGCCACAATTGACGACATACAAGCCTTCTAGTAGAGCACAAGTTCTCTATTGTGACAGGCACACCAGAGGAAATGCTTCACTTTAGGCTGTACCTTCAACTTCCATTGTTGAAATGCTTGGTCCTTTAAATGGCAGGGAAACAAGTTCTTTTTTATGGTGGTGATTTTCCTCTAAAGATAATTCACCAACAGAAGATGTACTCCAAAATTTAACAAATTCTCTTCTTTGTGATCAGTAACAGGGATGAGCATATAAGAATCTTATGGTAACCCAGAAAAGAAGAAGAGAGAGAACAACGTAGCCTTTTGCGTACTTTAGAGCAGTATTTAATTAAGCAACGGGCTAGAAGCAAATAAAACCGATCGAGGACCTCGATGTGCAGGAGAAGAAACAATATTGGAAGAAAACAAAGGAGGAAAATCAACAGGCAAAGATTTTAGGATCTGAGTAGACAATTATTGGACAAGTTCATATCAGCACCTGAATTTAATTTTAAATTTTAAGAACCAAAATTAGTCATAGACCACCTTACTAAAGCATTCGCTAATAATGGAAATCTTTGAGAACTTCCTAGAGCAAAATATTTCCTAGAGAAATATTATAGCTCTAGCTAGCTTTGAAATTCCCAAGCTGTCGAATGGAATTTCATCTCCAGTCTCATCTCCCTTTTCTGCCACAACTTGCTCAAAGATTATAATCTCCTCTCGCTGCTGTTGAACAGGTGCTTCAATAAATCAACCATAAAAGTCACCAAGAAAACAGGAAAAAGAAATTTGAACAACATTTTTCAATTACAAATATTCAAAAACCTCAGACATTTTGTCCATTTGGAATCCTACCCACGTTACCTGGATGATGGTGTTTTTTGCAATCCATTATCAAAATTGTGTCATTTTCTTATTTCAAATTGCTTTTCTGATCTATAGTCTTTCACCTTGGAATACAATATCTCCTTCAACGAATTTCATTGGAGATACATAGGGGCCCAAGGCTGGATATGTTTAGTAGAAACTGTGTGAAATTCTGACATGGTCATCTTCAAACATTTTCAAACAAAGAGCTTCATTTGAGGTAGCAAAATTGGTCACTAGAATACCGCCATTCTAATATCAGGTCAGCAACGTAGGACTAAGCAAACTCAGTAATTGCACCGTTATAGCTATCATAAACTATATAAATAGATATTCATAACACAGGATGAAAGTGATAAAGAGACTATTATGTATGATATAAGAGATGGAAGAGGACAAGATGTGTGTTTCTTTGCTTTCTGCAACAAATAACATAAATGATGAAAAACCTAAACAAGAAAACCTTCAAAACTATCACTCTTCATTTACATTTTTCTTTTCTGTTTTTTGGGAAAACACTACGTTTTATTTAAGTGGAGCCTTGGGCTTGAAGCACTGCCCCTCAAACAAACAAAAAAGGTCATACTACGTTTGAAAAATAAGTAAAAGAATCTTATATCATAACAATCCCAGTTAACTAAAAGATAACAAATGTCCCTTAACTTTATGATTTAATGCCATTTAGAGGGATCAGCTTGTCAGTTTCTTCAACATATAAAAGAAAGATTGCAGTCTTCTTTATCATAATATGTTTGTATGCAAACTTGACTTCAATTTCCACCTCATTTCCAAGCTCCAAATTAGATACTATGTTCTGCCATTCTTCATCAGCAGAAGTAATTATTGCAACTTCTCAGCTGTAAAAATCCATGGTAGCCTTTGTGAAATTCTTTATCATGAGACCAACAGAGTGTACACATGCCATGCTATCTTGAAGAGATGAATAGATAATACTGAGGACCATTCTTTTTAAGCTATGACCAAAAACTTGAGGAACTTCAAATGACACTGAAGATCCCTCATGTTCAAAAGCTAACCAATCAGGATAATTTTCTTTAGGAAGAGAATAGTGAAGCCCTTCGTTCCATCCCTATTCCAAGAACACAAGGAAAGAGTAATCCGATTCAATGAATCCAGAAAATATGGAAAATAATATTCACTAGAGTAGTTGACACTCTAAACAAATGAAAAACTTCATTTTTTAACATATGGCAAGCATGTTTGTCATAGGGATGAATGGTAAATATAGTGTTCACTGTGCTACGTACATTTACGCGCACAAAAACAAGATTTTTGCTAAAAGTATGATCTAGCATTATTATAAAAATATAATATTGATAAAAGCACACTTTACATTGTTGTACCTTCAACTCTCAAACAGTTACTCATAGATAGGTGAACATGTATGGCAGAAAGGCCCCCCCATATTAAAAAGATTATGCAAATGAGATAGTAGAAAATTAATTCAGATAAGGAGAAACACCTTTGAAATACTCTTTAGAAGGGTATCTGTAATTTTGTTGAACTGCCCTACCAGAATAATTAAAGAACTCATCAACGTTTTTGACCTTTCGCTTTGAATTTGATCATGAAATTCAAGTAATGTGGGAGTATTTTTGCATGAAGCCTGAGATGTGCTTGGTCTTGCTTCTGATGTTTCATATCTTCTTGAAAATAAAAGCTGTGATAGACCTCCAATTAAAGCTGGCATGGACCAAAACGCTTGCAATAATGACTTTGAATGATGTGTTGGTGATGACATCCAAGACAAAGAAAGAGATGGAAATACATCACGTGATAATCCTTCATAGCCACATAAAGACACATATTTAATACTTTTCAATCTCAACATTGAGAAAGGAATTCGAGCCATAGAAGTTTGATTTGCCATCAAAGTTGTTGAAGATTTCATTTGCTCAATGTCTTCTTCTAGCTTTTCAAACTTTGAACAACCAGAGAGATTAAGGGTCTTCAAGGATTTCAATTGATATACACTTTTTGGGAGATGGCTGAGGCTTTTACAATCCTTTAAATTTAATAGAACAATATATTTAAGATCACCAATGGAAGGGTGAATTATAGACAAACGAGGACAATTTTTGAATATTAACTTTTCAAGATATGGTATCTTTGAAAAGTCAAGTGTTTCTATCAAATAATGAGAATGACTAAGAATGAGAATTTTCAACCCCTCAAGCAACTGTAAAAAGAGAATAGTTTGAAATAAAATAAATAATAAATAAAAGGGAAATAATAGATGGAAACAAATACAAATACTCTCTATAAGTACTTGGCTTTTCTCACAAACTTTCACAAGATTACTCCACTTTAAATCAATGGCAACTATGTTTTCTGGATTGAAGTTCATTGGCAAGATTTCTAATGGAAACCCATTGCAACAAAGCCATCTCAAATTTGTTGATAGATAACTATAATCTCCAGTAAGTTGTATATTATCAAATTGAAGCAAGCAAAGCCTCCTCATATTCTTAAATGTTTTGGCACTCAAGTATAACGAATTGTTCATTGACAAGTTTAAAGCTAGTCCTTTGATAGATATTGTTCCCTACCAAATAGAAAGAAACAAAAAACAAAAACAAAATTCAGGTGATTAAGTCATTAAGATAAAGGTCTATAATTGGCAACAAAAGGATAAGACCATATTGAATAATAAGAAACATGGGGAAATAATTCAATTAAGTCATCCAGAAATATACTTATAGTTTTATTTCTTAAAACATCGAACACATCGTCGTGAAACCATAATCTAGTATGTTTCTCAAGCTCCTCTAGCGACTGCTCATGAATAATTTCTCTTCCCATGTCACGCGATAAGTCATGCATTTCAAGCTTATTTTTGCTGCTAACTCTTACAAGGCTACACTCAATCAAACAATTAATTCCAATATCTGTATGAAGTCCACAACCATTCAATATTTGTGTCACATCATTTTTGTTCTTTCCAATGAAGAAACAATATATGTCAAGAAATATTTCTTTCTCTATATCATCGCTCAAACCATCATAGCTTATTTTAAGCTTCTCATGGATTTGATCATTTGGAATTCGTTGCAATCTATCCAAAACACTTCCCCAAATCAATATTTCTCTGTCATATAAACAGGCCAAGGATGTCAAGAGCTAGGGGCAACCCTCCAGAGGAAGAAACTACCCTTCTTGAAAGTTCAATGAACACTTGTTTAGGTATTGCTTGCTTGAATGCATGCCAACTAAAAAGTTCAAGAGATTTGTTGTCATCTAATTCTTTCACACTATATACATGAATCACTCTTAGGATGTTACGTAAATGTTGATCTCTAGTAGTGATGATAATTCTACTACCTTGGCCAAACCATTCATGACTTTTGCATAGAGCTTTTAGTTGGTCTTCATTGTTCACATCACCAAGTACAACAATCACTTTTTTCTTACAAAGGATTTCCTTTAGCAGAGTTTTTCCCGCTTCTGCTTCAGGTAGTGTCATCCTTCTTGATTTTAAAATGCTTGAAAGAAGTTGTTCTTGCAAGTTAGCTGGACCATTATCTTGCTTCCAAACTTCCCTAACATTTGCAAGGAAGCACTTTCCCTCAAAACTTTGGCCAACTTCATTATAGATGGCTTTAGCAATTGTTGTCTTGCCAATACCACCCTTTCCCCAAATCCCTGCTATGATAACCTCATTTGATTTACTACTTAGCAATTGGATGATATCTTGCACACGAGACTTTAATCCCACTGGATGGTGAGCAACAAATAGGCATTTGTTGTTAGCTATCTTCATTCTAACAATTTCAGTAACATGGCCAATGAATTCAATTTCAGTCCTAGAAACAATAAGAAGTTACACAACAATGAATCCTACTCGAGAGTCCTCAAAGTGCATGGTACACACAATAATATCAACAAAAACGATAGGCTTGTAGAGTAAGCCAAAGTAAGAGAGTGTTGAAATGTTCTATATAATTTTAATTAGAAAATATTACAAGTCTGACATGAACCAAATTTTGTCAATGAATTTGATTTTACCTTTACAAATTAAAGAAAATTTTGGTTGCATAGAATATATTTAGCCTAAAAAAAGAAGCATTTGATTATAAAAGATAAACCTGTATATTTGCAGGGCCCTTTGGTTGGCCACTTATCTATGCCAATTAACATACTACCTTTGGTTCTAATTATAAAATCTTGTTTATAAACTACAAACGATGTCTTATAATTAGGACCAGAAGTAATACAACAAACTTGTCAAGTTAAGTAAATATTGTATTACTCTTGGTTTATTCCAATTCTCCTTTCATGTATTGTTGTTGACAAATCACTCGAGTATAAATACTAATTATAATTCCACCTGATTTATGAGTATTAAATCAAAATCGGTATAAAGGCATTTGTTTTCAACAAATTACCGATTTGAACATAAAGGAAGTTGTACAAAAGCTTGTGACGTGGTGGTAGCTAATTTTCCCTAGGCTATTTTATGCGATCCTCTTGTGATTTTTGATTATTTAGAGATAGATGAGTAAAAGTATTATCATTATAGTGGTTTATAACTCCCATGTTGAAAAACCATATAGTTCTCTTTCACTCTCCCTCTACACACGCATAACATGAGACTATTTTAGATGAAACTCGTATCACCAAAAGGAACTCAAAAAAATAAAAAAGGAACCTAAGGAATTTGACCATTCTAAACAGTAATGAGTAAAAAGATTAAAAATACCTGTAGTTATGCATGTCCCATCCCGATAAATTGGCAACTTCTGTGAGGGCTCTTTTCAAATGGATTGTCAATTTCTTCATTTTGCCACTTGAACTTCTCTTAATATGTCACGTCCCAACTTTGGAGGTGACCGGCACAGAATATGAGAGACCTCACACTCTTAAGCCTAAATATATGGATTGTTTAACTAATATATATATTTTTAGGATAAACATAAATAGAGGCATCCATTAAACAAAACATTCATATACTTAATCATGTTGTGATTCAAAATATAAAACTATTTGTAGAAATTTTCAACAGAGCCTCCACTGTAATCTAGACTTCTTGAAGATTCTACAATAGACTGCAAGTTTCAAACAATACTTGGGGCTCAGTTCCTCAGCACCAGTATATATATAACTACATTCCAAAATAACCCAAAAGATGAGGACCTAATCATAGATTACGTGGAGCATCAAATTCTAAAAGTAAAGACATAAATGTACTTTTGAGTTTACATTAGCTAACAGTTACTCGAAATAAAGTCACAAGTTCTGGATCTTCAATGAGGCTCTTTACTGCTCAGCTGGGAGTACAGGGTCAGTGGTGCTGTCTGAAGTCAACAAAAGAATCTACCGGTGAATAACATCCCATTGATAATAGTTAAAAAGGTAATAACAAATGAATGCAATAAGACTAAATTTTTACTTGGAATGACTATGTGGTAAAGAATTAAAGTTTCTATAGTACACAATCTTAAATTGAAAGATAAATGTATACTCAAGCTCATTAAACAATTAAATCCAAATTTGTAATAAGACAGCTTGTTACACAAAAATATTATAAAATAACATTTCTTAAACACTAATACTTTTATAGGACTTCAACAGAACGGAATAGCAAGCGCAGCTTGAAGCCACGAATACAAGCATGGACACATAGTCCACGAGGGTAAGTAACCAATCGAGTGTGGCCAATGCCACGAAACAAGTGCGGGAACGATGCCCACGAATATCCAGCGAGCTCGAAATTACCATGGCGCGCCAAGGACTAACAGTGCTGCTGTTAGTGACCAGCGTTCTGTATCCAGACCTCTAAAAAAAAAATGTACAAGCATGCATGGGATTGAGTTTATTACTATCAACCAGAGGAATATATATTTATATATTTTATTTCCACGAATGAAATCCTTTAAGGAATATTTTATAACAGATGATCCCAGCATGAATATTTTCAAATAATATTTTCAAAACTCCTTTCCAAATTCCAAGTATAAATATTTATTAGAAACAAAAATGCAGATTAACGAATTGTAAGTAGAACTTTTAATCAGTATATAACAAGATAAATATTCCTTCAAGTAATAAAACATTAAAACATTAAATAAGTGAGATTGGAAAAAAAATAATAAGATTTAAGTTAAATCACCTTGACAGACCATTTAAAGAAGCTAAATGTTTTTTTTTTAAAAAATAAGAATTTATGACAATGGGACGCTATTCACTCACCTGTTATGCTCCCAAAATATAACTCATTCCAATTAGCACATCCTTGAGTTATGCTCACTCCTCAATCCCCTAGTGTCCCGAAACAAAGCATTATTAATACCCCATTTATAACTTATATACATCTAAATCATTTATCAACAATCTCTTACAACTCTAACAAGCCCATCCATGTCAAAAATATTCAAAGATTAGCATAATAGTTGGCAAGCATAACATATAAATTATAATTCACTTGTTTCCCAATAACAACGTAAAACTCCAACCTTCAAGTTTTCTACCCACAAGAACAATCAACTCTTATTTCCTTCATGTATCTCCTGAAACCCAAAGTTTAATCATAATTAATCCAAAATAATATCTATCTTGCTCTTTTCCATCAAAATGTTATATAAACACCTATCAAGAAATTCTTTTGCTCATGTAAACATTTTTTCAAACACCCCACGGGCACTCAATATTGTTTTGTGAAACAAGCATCCGCACCAAAAACTTTTTCAGGTTTCCTTCTTAACTAAATTCATCTCATAGACCAAAATAAACAGCACCTAATAATTTCAAGCTTCAAATAATAGTTGCAAGCAAGCACCATGCATCACCCGTTAACAAAATATAACATCCTTCCTCCTCAATATGCTTCATTTAAGACAACCCCCATAATCCTTGAAATCTCAAAATTTCCAGCAACCAAACCAATTAATACCCAAGCCAAAAATCACAAGATCCAAGAAGATAACATCCTACACGTGACCACCCACACCCAAAATTCTGCAGAAACGAATATGGAAAAGAAAATTCGCATAGCCACCCAAAATCCACCAAAATCAGCCCCAAACGCACAACAAGAAGGGTAAAACTTACCTAAACTTACACCATACTCCTACATTGCAAGACAGACCAGAAAAAGGGTAGAAAATGACTCCAATTGAAAGAGAAACACCCCAAACTCTAGCAATGTTCTGCAGCGAAAACAGAAATAATCTGCAAGAATGCACGCCGGAGACTGCAAAGTGAACGGTGGAGGACAGAGGGAGATGCGATCGTTGAAGAAGAAAAAGAAGGGTTAGGGATTCAGCTTTGAAAAACTTGTTCTACTCCTCCATTCTCTCGCTAAAATGAAGAGCATCGGGAGAGAGAGAAAAAAAATCTGATGCTTTTTCTTTATTTATTTTATTTTTACTCTAAGGGTATTTAAGTAATTCAATAGGGCTGAAACAAAAATTAAATTACTCCAATGCCTTAGTTCGAACCCAGAACCTCAAATGCCTTCAGCCACTTCCAAAGCCATTAAACCACACGATTTACTTGGTTGCAGCTGCAACAACAATAAAAAGAAACTATTAACCAATAATTTAGTATACTAAATTGCAAGATTGTTACATAATAGGTCTTTCCCATGCTTTTCCAAAGGCATTTTGTTATTTATGAACTTCAATGGTCGCACATTAAAAAATATGGGTAAAACCTCTTGATAAGTTGTTTTGTAACACTCTATGATTTTCTCAAAATCTTGTAAGCACCAACTAGAGCCGGCATAATTCTTTGAGAATATAATAATTGAAATTCTCGAAATTTCAATTGCTTCCAATAATGAAGATGAAATATTTTCTCCCTTTTCAATTCTTCCTTCATCCATGTAGACCTCAATACCTACTTGCTTTGAAGCATTGCAAAGATGAGAAGTGAAAAATTTATGGGTATTGTCACCTCTAAAACTTAAAAATACATCATAGTTATATCTGAGCTTTGGCTTACTAGGACTGATTTCCCATCCTATCCTTTGTAGGAAATCATGAACATAAAGCTTGTCATTCATGACCTTTACAAGATTACGCTCAATGATTACCGACATTCCCATTTCCACAGGAAGTCTTGAGCTTTTTAGCAATTGTGTAACATGGTGTTTACTCTAACCCACATAAAAAGAAGCTATATTAAAAAATATATCTTTCTCTGCATCAGTTAATAAGTCACAGCTGATTTTGAGCTTCTTTTGTATTGGAACATGAGAAATTCCTTCCAAGTCATTCATCACTTTTTCCCACTCTTTTTTTTGTCCTATTATGCAAAAGAGAGCCAAAGACTTCAAGAGCCAAGGGTAGTCCTTCACAGTATTGAATGACTCGCTTTGAAAACTCCTCAAAATCATTTGTTGGAGTAAATTGCTTAAATGCATGCAAGCAAAAAAGTTCAAGAGACTCGTTTCTGTTTAACCTTTTCATTTCATATGATATGTCAACAGAGGCATCTAAGACAGCCTTATTTCTTGCTGTAATGAATATCAAGCTCCCTTTACCACACCACTTCACATTTCCGCACAATTCCTTGAGTTGAGATTCACAATTTATATCATCAAGTACTACGAAGACTCTTCTTCCACAGAGTTCTTGCATCATTAATTCATGCATCACAGCATCATTTGTCTCATGAAGTTTAGTTTCAGAAATATATGAAATAAGTTGATTTTTTAGGAGAATTTCACCGTTTCCTTTCTTCCATACATCCTTAATATTTGAAAGGAAACTTTTACCCTCAAAATTGCTGCCAATTCTATCATAAATAGCTTTGGCAATCGTTGTTTTACCAATACCTCCATCTCCCCACATTCCAACTATGGTTGTATCATCCGATAAAATGAATTTCAACCCCAAAAAAGTAAGCAATTCTCTCACACGAAGTGGTAACCCTATTTGATGGCATGGAAGATCATGAAATGATTCATCGTGCAAGATGGAAAAACCTAAGTTTGAGATGCGGCTACTGATTTCATTCCTGTCACAGTTGGCAGGGCAACATTCAATTAAAAGGACAAAGAGGCATGTGTTATGAAACTATGCGTGTGTGAGAGAAATGTTGGCCTTCTACATTTGAATTCCTTTTTTGAGAAGGTTTCTCCCTCTAGTGAGGGCTACAACTTGATCATCTCCCTAGTGAGATCTAATCATGAGTGAGAGTTAAGTGTTTAAGGGATGAAGATATATAAGAGGTGAAGATATGAAGAATCATATAGAAGACTCTTATGGGCTTTACTGAGTGATCAAAAGTGTTCTGCATTTAAGCTTTCGTGGTTACACAACCCAAGTTAGAGTTGTATCTAAGCTTTACTGAAAATACTCTTATGGTGTTCTGTGTTATGGGTTAGCTTGTTTAAACCCTCTAGACCAAGAGAACTTGTTGTTGCTGTTATTGTCAGGCTGTGATTGCCTATGAGATTGGAATTAGCTAGTTTTAAGCGACCTATGAGATTCCTACGTTTTGATGTTAACTAGAGATCAAACATTGTGTCGCAGGCTATTAGAACGGGAAAAATTTTAGCTGTAACTTTGGTTGCAAACATGTCACTATTATGGCAAGAAAAAAACATTTTAACGTTATTGAGGGGACTGGACAGAGAGGCAGTGGACCAAATCAGGATAAATTTTTTGTCACACTTCTCTCCCTTGCTCTATCAATCTATTGCTTATTGTTTTTAGCAAACTGAACTGACCAAGAAATCAACTTGGCTATTTGGTAGTATTTATATAACTAATTTGAGCTACACGTTCGAAAGAAGGATCGTGAGTGGTAGAATCATAAATAGAGCAATGAAAATATTGATAAAGAAGGATTAGGATTGGCAGGAAAGTGTAGATATAGTAGAGGCAGAGAAGAATGCTTTCTTCTTCTCGTTTGAAACCTAGGAGGAGCACAATAGAACACTAGAGGGTAAATTAGGCTACTGTCATAACATGATCACTCTTCTGTCGTATTAGTATATTACATCTGGTCCTTAATATAACATTATAGTTTAATTTGAAATACAAACTAAAGAAATCCCAATTCTATTTAAAGTATAAAACAAGTGGGGGGGATAGAAATAAATTAAAAGAGAGAAAGCTTGACGGAAGAGATAATTTAAATTCAGTTCATAAGTTCTAAAAGGTAAAAACCAAGGAAATCCCAATTCTATTTATAATATTTAGTCTAAATTATATAAATCTCCCGAATTTTGAATATGCACAAATAACTCCCTTAGCCTTTAAAATTGAATAACAAACCCACCTAAACTTCTAACTCTATATGGATGAACCTAACCGTTAATTATACACCCCTTAAGTTATATTTTTGTGCGTAAATAACTCCCAAGCTTTGAATTATAATTATAGAAGCCCCCTAAAATTTAATATATGTGCAGATAAGTAATGAACAAAGAGAGACAGCTGCACATATGTAAGAATTTAGGAGATTTATTCTAAAGTTTCAAAGCTGAAAGAGCAATCTATAGATAACACATAAAGTTGAGGAATTTATGTATAACTTCGCCATATATTTATACAGTAGTAAGTACAATCATTCAAAATTAAAAAATCTAGTAACTAATCGAGACATAATTTATTTAAAGAATAATCTAAATATCCTACTTAGAATAACTTTATACGAAAAAATTAAAATATCTTAGGATTAAATAAGTGGCTTGATAATCTGAAAAAAGGAAGATCTAAGAACGTCTTTTTATGCTTGGTTTGGATGAGAAGAAAAGTTACTAGCAAAGAAAATGAGAGGATAAAAAATGGAGAGAAAATGTTATTATCCATATTTGGATAAATAAGCCAAAAAAATAGGAAAAAAGAAAATAAGCAAATATCTAAATAATAAATATGCTTTTATGTAAAAACTATATCATGTTCAAAATCAAATTAAATAATAAAATGCAGAAACCATATTATGAAATAATTTAAAATTATTTTACAAAAAAATAATTTAAAATTAAAGTATTTGATAAATATATATATTTTCATGTTACCATATTTTAAACAAGATAATTTAAAGAAAATGTTATTTTTCAGAGTAAAAAATAAAAAGTGGATAATTTTTTGAATTAGATGTAATTAAAGAAAATAAGTAAATTATACATTATTCAAAATATTTAAAAAAATATTAAAAATATAGTATAAAAATAAAATAAGGAGGACATGAAGAAAAAATGAGTTTTCTCCTCATTTTCATTCCACAGACGGAGAAAAAAGTTGGACGAAAATTCAGATGGATCCCACATTTTATTTTCTCTTCAGTTCTTCTTTTCTCCCATTTTTTTCTCAGAAAACTCATTTTTCTTTTTACTTTTCTTTTTAGGTTTTTTCCTCTCGTTTTCTTTCTATCTAAGCCAAAATAGGGTTAGTGTTTCTGATAGCATTCAAATTTGGAAAGCCTTTTTCCATTGAACAAAATATTAGTAAGGGGGATCGTGAAGTGACAAAACAATTTGCTCTGCATAATTAAATTTGCACCTCACAACAGAAAAACGAAGAAAGACACTTTAGCAGCCAAAAACAGAGGGAAAATCATGATTTCTCTGAGGGGAGAACTAGACCAACAGGTATTCGTTTTTATTATAAACAAGCACATAACTCTAAAATAAAATTCATTTCACATAGGGAAAATCACAAAAAAAGACCCTCCAATATGCAAAATAACAGATAGGTCACCTGAATAAGTGAAATTACTCACAAGGACCCGGTCTCAAATTGTAATTATGAAATCATGACCAAATTACCAAAATATCCCTCTTTAAATTTTTTTAAAAAAAGAAAGCCACTGCCTCACCAGAATCCAGCCACCGGCGCCGGAGCGCGGCCTTCCTTTTTTTTTTTTTTTTGCAACTGTTTTTTTTAAATAGTGGGGGAAGTGAGGTTGGGGGGATTTGATCCCCCAACCTAATGCTTCCCAAAATAAAGAATGACCATTGAGCCAACAAATTTTTGTTAACATTATAATGCAAAAAAAATATAAGTTAACTCATTTACTCTTGTTCCAGGTGATAACAACAATACATTTGTAAATAACAAGTTTTGATTGTAAAATAACACGTCTGGAATAAAAATTTAACAATATGTTTTTTTTATAATAATAAATTTTGTTGCAGGTAATAACAACAATACATTTAAAAATAACAAGTTCTGATTATAAAATACCAAGTTTGGGATTAAAATTTAACAACACGTTTTTTTATAACAACACACTTTGTTTCAAGTGATAATAACAATACATTTAAAAATAACAAGTTTTGATTATAAGATAACAAGTCTGGGATTAAAATTTAACGACACATTTTTTTATAACAATTAATTATTTTATACTTTTAAAAAATAAATTATTTATAACTTATAAAAATATTTTTAATATATTTATTTCTCTAAAAATACTTTTTAATCTGTATATCTATACAACTCATTATAAATCAAACTACTTCTTATAAATTATAAAGTATTTATAATTAGGCATTTTTAATCTATTAATCATAGTATAAATTTTATATTATTTCATTCTTTAAATATTAAAAATAGTTTTTATATTTAAAGAATAAAATAGTATTTTTAATTATAAATTAGAGATAAATTTCATTTATAAATTTAAGCAGTCAAAAAGTATTTTTAATCTACAATAAATTGTACTATTTATAATTTATAAGAAGTAGTTTTATTTATAATGAGTTGTATAGATATATAGATTAAAAAAATTTAAAAAAAATTAAAAAAGTGTGTTGCCATTTTCCCTAAATTTTATTTATAAATTTGAACAATAAAAAAGTATTTTTAATCTATAAAAAATTATACTTCAAGTTCGGATTATAAATTGGAGATAAAAATTATTTTTTTAGCAAATTAAATAGATTACAAGTACTTTTTATAAGTTATAAATAATTTATTTTCCAAAAGTATAAAATAATTAATTGTTATAAAAAAAAAGGTGCTGTTAAATTTTAATTCCAGACTTGTTATTTTACAATCAGAACTTGTTATTTCCAAATGTATTGTTGTTATCACCTGAAACAAAGTTTGTTGTTATAAAAAAAACGTGTTGTTAAATTTTAATCCCAGACTTGTTATCTTATAATCACAACTTGTTATTTTTAAATGTATTTTTATTATCACTTGAAACAAAGTGTATTGTTGTAAAAAAAACGTGTTGTTAAATTTTAATCCCAAACTTGTTATTTTATAATCAGAACTTGTTATTTTTAAATGTATTGTTGTTATTACCTGCAACAAAATTTATTGTTATAAAAAGACATATTGTTAAATTTTTATTCCAGACGTGTTATTTTACAATCAGAACTTGTTAGTTACAAATGTATTGTTGTTATCACCTGGAACAAGAATAAATGAATTAACTTATTTTTTTTTTTGCATCATAATGTTAACAAAAATTTGTTGGCTCAATGGTCATTCCTTAATTTGGGAAGCATTAGGTTGGGGGATCAAATCCCCCCAACCTCACTTCTCCCACTATCTAAAAAAAAAACAGTTGCAAAAAAAAAAACAAAGGAAGGCCGCCGGAAGCGGCCGCCTGCGGTCGGACCCCGGCTTCCGGCCGTCAGCAGTGGCCTGAAGCGGCCGCCGGAGCTCCGGCGCCGGTGGCCTGATTCCGGTGAGGCAGTGGCTTTCTTTTTAAAAAAAAAAAATTTAAGAGGGGTATTTTGGTAATTTGGCCATGATTTCATAATTACAATTTGAGACTGGGTCCTTGTGAGTAATTTCACTTATTTAGGTGACCTATCTGTTATTTTACATATTGGAGGGTCTTTTTTTGTGATTTCTCCTTTCACATATCTATTTTATATATCATAAAATTTGAAAAAGAAAGGTCTTTAACAAAACTTCCTATTTTCAGGTCCCAACAAAAAAAGACAAAACTTCCTCTTTGGGTGACACTGTATAAAAATGGAGGAGCAAAACAGGATAATTTATTACCTGGAGTCAATGGAGAGTTTGAAGCCAGGTCGGGAAGCAACTTCGGTGAAATCAAATCTGGAAGACAAAGACAGCATCTTCTCATGTACTTGCTGCCGGCTCACTCCGCAGAATGCAGGCACTAGGTTGTTATTCCACCACATAGTTCTGATCACCAGTCTCTTGAGACACTTCTCCGACTCAAGAAACTCCGGCGTGAATAAAACAACAACGATCCGTGATCCTAATGCGGCTTCGGCCTCTTGTACAGAAAACGCTTCTTCTTCATCGTCAACGAAAACTCTGGTTCCAGCAACTCTCAATTTATTCTCAACATAGCCTTTCATACAACCCTTGGGATCTCTCAGAGTTAAGAAGACGTCGTATTTGAATTTGGAAGACGCAGAAGCCAAACAAGACGCCATGGCTTATTACTTCATAAGCAAATTATCGATCCCACAACGCAGTTCCATTTTTATTATAATAGCAATTAAGGCGGAGCCGAGTCGATGTTATCAATTGCCAGGAAAAGAAGTTCCCCGCGTCGTGTTTCTTTCTTGCTTGGGACCTACACGCTGGCTACTTTTAGCTTTTCCTCCCCATTGTCCTTAATCATTTTTATAAATTATAATTTTTCAATTAAAATTTAGGGAAAAGGACAAAAAAGAAAGTGGAAATTGTGAAATCACTTTTCAGCCACCTACCTAACCCTTCAAAATTTAAGAAAAGAAATAGTATGTAATCTGGTATTTTACAAATATAGTTAAATAACTAAAATACTTTTATTTTAAACTTGTCATTTTTAATATATTTTTCATCATTTATTATTCAACACTTATCATCACTAGTTCATAACTTATTAATAAATAACTTGTTATTGTAAGTGCATTTCTGGTTGTTTTATTTAACACTTGTAATTACCGGTTCATAACTAATTAATAAACTTTTTGAAACAAGAACATTTTAATCATTTAACTATATTTGCAGAACACCAGATTACACACCATTTTCTCTCGTGAGATTTTGAAGTATTAGGTGTCTCAGCTGAAATTTCACAATTTTCAGGTCCTTTTATTGTTCTTTTCCCTAAAACTTAGTACATTTTTATCATATTTTCAATCAATTATATATTCTTTTTTATTTATTTTCTCTCATCTGTTTTCTACACATTCTCATCTGCTCTGCTCAGGGCCTGCTGCATGCGTGGTGACTAAAAATAAAGATATTTAGGAAATGTGAATCGATTAGTTGTATGTAGTACTCGATAGAGTAATTTAGAAATTGTGCACTCCATCGTCCAGCACATTAGTCACAGGCCAAGCAGTGTCAGATTGTGGCTGTGGGGTACTGTCGCCGTTGAAGCACCATCACATCCTTTGACGGAGGTCGAGGTTCGGTAGTTGAAAGGAAATGGAAGATCAAAGGAGCTTGAAGGGTCTGGAGATGCCCAATGCCCACTTCTTCGCCGTTACTTGAGTCACCGATTCTGATCAAAGAAGCTTGAAGAGGGAGGTCGCGGGCCTGCGGGCGGGAGATGATAATGGTTAATAGTTATAATTAGAAGGGTAATGTTCTAAACTGATAAAATATCTTAGGGTATATTTGTGAGAAAATCTCGTTTTGAGGGAACTAAAAAAGTGTTTGGTTTTTTTGAAAGTGATTTTACGGGAAACGAAATAAGCCATCTGCACGCTCTGCTCAACGAACCTCTGGTGAGTAGGAAACTCTACTACCTTCTCATGTTTTGTATAAGAAACATCTGAAAGAAGCTGTTCTTGCAAACAAAAAAAACCATTAGCTTTCCCGTATACACTTTGTTTAGTTTCAAGGAAATTCTTACTCTCAAAACTGCCCCCAATTGTATCATAAATAGCTCTAGCAAGATTTGTTTTATCAATTCCTCCAATTCCCCATATGCCTACTATGACCACTTTGTTTTTTAAAGGAACAATATCTTTTGAATAGTAGCTGGTCAAATGAAGCACTAAATACACACGAAGTTGTATACCAGGTAGACCTTGCGGGATGTCTCAGTAGGTCTTGTCTAATTCCTTCTTAATGTGTTGGATGATTTTTCTTATCATGTTGACGTCACAGCTCAACAAACTAATTTTAAATACATGTCAAAATCTTGTTTTCTGTTAATAAATGTTTTCTCTGGATAGCCATGGGAGTAGAAAAAGAAGGAAATTACAAAAGTGTCACTTTAGTCAAGATTCTTTAATTATTCAGATTATATTCTTTTAATCAGATCCAATATAATAAAAATTACTGCCTCTAATCCTAAATATCTCTCTATTCTTATTTATAGGTCACTTGTAGAGAAAAAAATTTATTCTTAAATATAAGTCGTTTGATGAAATTAATGAGCCTTTTTTCAATTTTACCCCTGTTGACTTAATAAATGCCGAGAGAGGACAGGTAAATAGGTGAGAGAAACTACAAAACATATTTTTAATACGTTTTCTTTAATAAGGGCAAATGTGTAAAAAAATTATAAATTTAATGTATTTCTTAGTTGGTGGATTTAGGATACAAGTGATTTATAAATAGAAACAAAGTAGTATAAAAGCTAGTTTGTAACACAATTTTTACTGTAAACTAGCTCTTATATTTAAGAGCGAAGATAATATAAAATTGCAACTAAATTATTGATTTAGTGCTTGGAAAGTAATTTCTATGTGATTCTTACAAGTTACCCTATTTTCAAATGGGTCACATGCCCTGCTCAAACATCTCTGGCACGGCATGGCGTTTAGTAGACGAGGCCCCTTTTTTATTAAAAAAAAAATATTTTTTTGGTTTTATTTATATTAATATTTAGTAGATATAGCACATTCTAAAATATTTTTCAATAACATTCAGTATCCTAATTAATTAATTTTTAATGCATTCAACACCTTCAATTATTTTTTTAGTTGCATCCAATATCATAAATTAATTATTTTCTTAGTGCATTAAGTATCCTGAAATATTTTTTTAATAACATATAGTATCACGAAGTAATTAACTTCTACTGTATTAAGTGTCTTGAACTATTTTTCTATAATACAAAATTAGTGCATCCAGTATTTTAGAGTATTTTTTAGCAATACTAACTAACTGAAAAATACTCTAGATATATTAAAAAATAATTAATGTAAGATACTGAGTATTATTAAAAAAATATTTTAGGGTACTAAATATAAATTAACCCAAGTGAATAAAAAATAAAATTAATGAAAAAAAGGAGGAAAAAGTGATACCTCATTCCCAAATGCTCATCGACGCAATCAGTAGGAAATGTGAATTCATTTTTAATTAGGCCCAAGAAAACTGGCCTGATTGCCGGTGTCAATACAAATGGATGGAAAAAGGCCCCAACAACCAGCAGAGCGCACATTTTGACTTTTATTTTTCACTTAAAGAATTCAAAAAAATATAATTTTAAAACCTAATAAAAGATGCTGATTTAAGATTGAAAATTGTTGAAACTGTTATGAATATTATGTGGATGTTCATTTACCCCTTTCTCTTCATCTTCTCCAAGTAACTTCCTCCACTACTTCTACCATCCATTACTTCTCCACTATCCATTACTCCTCCACTATCCATTCACTCTTGTAACTCACCTCCATTCACATTCATGGGATTGATTATCCACTACTTGTCATTTAAGGACAATTGTAACCTATGTATAAGACTATGCCTATAAATAGGGCATGTCATTTGTGTTGTAGTGCAAGTGAAGCAAGTGAAGGAATATAATATCATTCTCTCATTTTCTTGTCTACTTCTCTTCTCCAATCTACTTTCATTGTTGGTTAATTTCATAACACGTTATCAGCACGAGACTCTACTATTTGAGTTCATGGCTTCTAATTGATACACGTTGATATTTTGTTCGTTGAATAAAGATAGTTTGATCCGAACAGTTTGGTAAGATTTCTCAAATTTATTTAGAGGAAATGATGGTTTTGTATATTAACCATATTGATTCATTGGCAACCGAATATTTTATTCATCATATTGAGATATGAAAATTTTTATTTTTATTTCTTATTTTTCTTATATTTTTATAATCTTACTATCCTTATACTTCTTGATTTGCTATGAAGTTTATGTTCATCTATAACATCATTATATATGATTATCATCTCTGACATTAGTTAATTATTGTCTTAGAAAGTAAAATGTTAAATATATAAACAAATGGCTAATAGTCATTGTACTCTTGATTTTGTGATTAGATGGCCAGAAGCCACATCACGTTTTGATGATTATTTGATAAAAGATCATTTTGTGGCAGTAACAGATGGCATGACAAAATTGTCACAATTTGATGATCTATATCAAAGTTTTGAAGATTGATAGTTAAAAATGAAACGATACAAAAGAACTTCATAGTTCTGAAAATTTTGTTATAGTCTGGAAGACTAATATTTGAGAAAATTGATGGTGTGCTATTAAAAGCAAAGAATATATCTATAAGAGTGATAAAGAGTATGATCACATTATATCAATGGAACTGATCGAGGCTTGACTATTGAATCATAACAACAGAATTAGTAATAGCCCTATGATCAATATAATAAAATTATGAACAACTGTTATAATATGACCAGAGTCATATAGACAAATAAGTATCAATTCATTGAAAAGCAAATGTTAAAAAAAATTAGTTGTGAAATAAAAGGACCATGTGATATTATGAAAATATCAAAGGTGATTCTAATGCCTGAAGGCAATAAGTTGTGAAGAAAGATAGATGCCCAAAGCATATATAAAAATAGAAGATATATAAGTATATGCCTAGAAAGTTATACGTATAATGTTTAATTTTTATCGGTCTTTAAATTTATTGTGATTTGTAAGAAACAAATTGTTATAAGAATTTGATATTGTGATATTGATAAGGGTGTGATATAAAACTAAATAGATCAAATAGACCCAAAAGTTACTAGTTATATTTTGTTTATTTATATCTTATTTATATGATCTGATTCAATATTAGTTTTGAATATTTTAAATGTCTATAGTACCTTGATCAATATTGAGAATTTTTGAACATTGAGTCTTATTTGTATTTTATTTTTAAAAGTTCATTTTAAATATTCTTCATCATTTTTGTGTGTCCTCTATGTGTATTGCAAGTTAAATCTGTGATACTCATAATTATTTGTTATTATGTTAATGATATATTGAAATAGAGTTATCTTCCATATTCCTCTTAAATTGTATAGTTCTTGAAGAACTAGATGCAATAGTATTAATATAGTTCTAGAAAAACTAACGCTGTTTTTTTTAAAGAGTAGACAAACTATATATGAATTATGAAGTACTTGGGCTTCTAAGCAAAAGATAGGTTGTTGACCTTGACCCATCATATGCTCATAACTGTTTATGAAATATATGAATAAAGGAATCATATTTGAATGACTCAATC